GAGGAAATCTTTCAGAGACCAGTACAAAAGCTCATTCCTTACCCCCCCCACCCCAATAGCTTTATAGCTATGAAGAATGTGGTTGGTAAATAAAGAGAAGGAAACACTGTGCCTTACCATGGTGCTGCTGAAGTGGTGTGTGGGTTAGAACATTTTATGTTCTTGGATCCCCACCAAGGTATTTCACCTCCCTGTTCCTAAAAATGGGAGTGTGTGGCTGGTGCTTCAAGCAGCAAAGTTGTATTTCAACACTGCTGTAGAAAGCAACAGCATAGAATATGTCTTCAACTTATTTTTGCATCTCTCTCCTGTTACCCAACACATAAAATATATAAAAGAAAACTGTAGTTAGAAGAACTGAGGCCATAAATGGATACTCCAATGCTGTAGACCCCCACACCAGGAGCAGAGAATGGAAACGAGTCAAATACATTCTCTGAAGGACTGATCTCTACTAGTTCCATCTTATTAGTCATAGAGGTACTGGAGCAAAATGTGTGAAATTAGTGGAAATCTTATTAGTATCTACATATTCAATAGTTTACCTCAGCTATTTAAATCTTACTGGGGTTATTTTTGGAAAGAAGCCAATAGATCTCTAAAACTGTGGTCAGAAGGTGCACTTCGTGGCATTTCGTTGTTTTTTAGCTTTTTCATAGGGAATTTGTGGAATGTAGCTGCAAGAAAAAAAGATTGTGGTGTTTTTGCTTCGGTTTAGCAACCAATATGTAAGTATGCTGGAACAAGCTATTTGTTTCAACTTAAGCCACTCTGTTCTTTCAAGGAATGCAGGTGGTCTTCCTGCTTGCCTTTCTTCTCAGTACCTGCCTCATTTCAGACCTTGTAACCAGGTTCCACACAAAACAGCAAAATAAAGTGGGAAAGTAAGCCACTTTTCTATCCCCTGGATGAACAGGTTGGATCCCTGAAGTACATGTTCTTATATGTTGTACAGCCTAATTTTAAAACTCCAACTAGTGGGGGTCCTTTGGGAGATCTTTTCTTGACCAGCTTTGTATCTTTGCTCTTATGAATTATTTGCTGATAATCAGTCTCTTGTTTCTTAATGGGATTTTTTTTTTTAATGAGTGCTTTGTGAATTTTACCCTGGTGAAGCACATGAAGTAAGTCCTTTTGTATTCCTTTAAATGGCTGTCATATGATAATTTTGATTTTGCTTTGTTTAGCAAAAATATGTAGCTCTCTAACTCCAATTTCTTGTATCAGTCTACCTGATTTCCATTTTTTCTTTGGTTTCTTTGTCAGTGTTGAACCCTTTGTGTTTCTAATAGTAAAAAACAAAGGTGCTGGTCAGTCCCCTGATTTTGAACTGATAGTTATGATTTGAAGGAATCTAGAAAGTTTTTCTCCTTAATAAGTGGTGATCCACAATGAAGACAAAATCAGATGACTATGAGAATGTGAATGTGTGAATTAACAGTGGTTGCAAAGGGACTGCTTGAATGAATGCAGTGAATCATACAAAGCGCTTAAAAAAACCCATAGTTCTTTTTTTAAAATAATATTTTATTAATTATTTAATAATTACTTGGATTCAATTTGTACACAAAGCTGAAATTACACTAAGATGTGGTAAATTAGAAATATGGAGATAGTAAAAAAGGGATTTATATTTGATTTGGTTAATATTTGATTTATATAGTAAGCAGGAATGCCAGGCACTGTTTATGACTTGAAGGGAAAATAGCTGTTTCATATTTTGATATAATCTAAGGAAACCCTCGTTGTTCTGGGTACATAAGAACCCTTCTAAGTTTGGGCCTTGACAACTTGATTATCTGTGACTCCAGCATATTTGAATTAAAAAACAACAGGAAATTTCATGAGTCTTTTTCATAAATATTTTAAAGTAATAACTATAGTCTTAACCCTGCAATTTAAAAAATGTGATTCTCCATAAGAAAGCAAATTAAGCCAGTACAAGATTTAAACAACGGATTTCAACATAAACTGGTTGCTGTCTAACTGAACTTGTAATACTTCCATTTTATGAAAATTGTATCTTTTCATTTGCCACTTTAAAAAACATAATGTGACAAATAGAAAACAAAGTTGTTTTGTTCTAAACGCCTTCCATTTCTTTTATTGTTTCAGTGATTAGCATGCAGATGCTTCTAAATTCTATTTCATGATTTTTGAAGACTGATATTAATTTTTCTGTTGCATATACAGCTGAGACACTAATTTCTGTGTGCATATATCAATTTAGAATTTCATGTGTGCTGTCAGGAAAGAAGAACCGTGATCACTGGTATTTATACTACCTATTAGTTTTAGTGATTGGGAAAACTTTGTTTATGACAAGATGTTCATAATAAAAATCCTTCTGCTTTGAGGAGCATTTAGCAGTCTATACCTCACATTGAAGGTGAGGTGATGATAGAGACTAGCTTAATGCCTTTGTTTTCTCCTTGTGGAAAATAAAAGTTGAAAAGGTCATTTGATTTCCAAAACTTAGTCTCCCATGGTTGTATTAATTCTGTCTTGAAGGACCTGGAGATACCTATTCTAGAGAGATGTATTCTCTAAGTTGTAAAGTGCTTCCTTGCTCCTTATAGCAAACACAAGTAGATTGGCAAATAAATTCAGCAGTATAAGATCCATAATAGTAAACCAGCCACAACAAAGTTTGACACAGAACTGAGATGACACGACTGCCAGGTCTCTCCACAACAGGGAATTTGTTGTGTAAAATTGCAGGTGTTCCATGATCTGAGCACATTGGCTAGAAAGTCCCTGAACATGAAATATTTTGATAATAATCACTTTAGACCTGCAGTGTTAAACAAACTGGATCAACTACAATCACAAGAGACTTGAATGACATGGCAGCCATTTCCTATAGAGGAAATGAATTTGCATTCTTCCCTTTTCTGTATCCATTCTCCAGCATTCCCACTTTTTTTCAGTTGACTTTGTCTGAAGGCACAGATACAAGCAGTTTATCCCATGCAGTTCAGCAGGAGATGCCCTAACACAAAATAATGTGGTGCAAAGACAGCCAGTGCAGCTCTCTCTGTAAGTCAGGTGGGGATGACAAAGCACTCATAGTTCTGCGAGATGATCTGCACCTTCATCACTCACCCCTTTGGATCCCACTCCAATTAATGAGCATGCTGTCTGTAGAATTAAACAGATACTTCTGGAGGAACAAGTGTTTGGAGGAACAAGTGTTTAATGAATTCATTTTCATTGTTTTTTCTATTTTTAAAGGAATTGCACTGCAATCTTTGGGTTTTTTTCCTATCATGTTTGTGAAACTTAAGAAGGACCAACTTAGAACACGTTAGTTTGTGTTGTCTCCTGTCTAAAATCTGTAGATGATGCAGAATTGTGTGTCAGCTTTAGAACTGGTCATACCATGTAAACTTCATTATTATTTTAGGAATATCTGAATTTAGTAGAAGAGTTATTTTGTGATTAATGCTTTAAGTAACTATCCAGAAGACAGCTTTTCCTGTGTGTGTGTTTTCTTTTTTTTAATAATGTCTTACATTTTGTTTGGGGACCCCTGGTGGTCTAGTGGTTAGGGTGCAGCACTTTCACTGCTGCGACCCAGGTTCGATTCCCAGCCCCCCGAGCAGATGGAGCTCATTAGCCCTGTGAGGCAATCCATCTAAGAGAAGGTCACTCTAAACAAACCTACGTCCTGAGACCCTCACTGCCACTGTCCAAGCTTGCTCGGCCCCGGCAGATGAACCTCAGGATTAAAGGGTGGGCTCAGTTCAGCGCACGCTGGGTCTCACCTAAAAAAAATCCACTGCGCAGGCTCAAAGGGTTAATGACCTTTCCCAAATCTTCGCTCGCGAAGACTGGCCATACACATTTTGTTCATTTTGTTACTGAATCTAACTTTTTTTTTTTAAATATCTGCTTTGATATTTTTGGTTATCTTGAATAAGGAAAGTACATAAACATACCCTTGGCTCCCAAGGCTTCACAACTTAGCTGGTCTGGTTCCTGCATGACTTGCACTGTTAACTGAACAGTGAAGCATTTTTTGTCCCTGTGAGGTCTGATGTTTGAGACACCGAATAGAAGAATTCGTAGATTTTTTTTTCTGAGTAAGCAATGCTTATAATTTGTGCATTAATACCTCTGGCTACTGTTACCATATTTTCTGTTGTCTCAACAGTGAAGCTTGTACTGTGTTCCCAAACTGGAGAGTATTTAGGAATTATCAGTAGTACATACACTTGCTTTTTTTTGAGGTATATGTTTCTTCTCCTGGAAGTCTTCAGGGTGAGTTTTCCTTTTTTTTCATCAGTTTTTATTTCAAAGCTGTAATTTAAGGAGTTAAAGCAGCGCAACAACATAGGAGGTACATTCATTACAATTAATGGAATAAGGCTCCAGTTCAGCAAAATCATCTACACCTTCATCACTGACCCCTTTGGATCCCACTGGAATTAATGAGTTTGCTGTCTGTAGAATTAAACAGATATTTCTGAGTTTGGAGGAGCAAGTGTTTTATAAATTTTGGTTTTGTTGTTGTTGGGAAAGTTCTCTTCTTGTCTCCAGAAGGAGTCAGAACTTTAATAGGGAAAGTTCAAGGGACTAAACCAGCTTTAGTTTTGGAGCATCAGAACTTACTTTGAGGTTGAGAGAGAAACTGTGCTTTTCTAAGAATCTTGTTTGGCAGCCTTAACGTGAGGCTGCATGTGCTGACTTTGACTCTGAAGTTTTTCCTGTTAGCAAAGTTTGTTGTCAGGCTGGGAAATACAAGGGCATGGTTAAAAAAGAAGGAACCTTGCTGACATTTCACTAGAAATTTTTAAAGCATCAGAAAACTTCTAATGGGAAGGTTAAATGTTGGCATCATATTAAAAAAAAAAAAGAAAAAGTAATCTTGAACTAATTTAAAGTCCACAATTAGCTGGGATCACAGGTGGAAAGAAGAAGTTTTAATGATAGCCTGGCCCAGGCCTTGAGGTAAATTATGCATAATTATTCATAACTGCTATTTTTGGCTTGCTTGCATTTGTCCTAGACCTCTGCCCAAGGAAACAATTTGAAATAATTAGTGTGTAAGTGCACTGACAATGATGAATGAATCAAATGCATCTGGTGCCAAACACGGATCTTGATAAGAAGCAGATAACTTTGGGAACTGTGGATTTTTTGTTTTTAAATTTCAGAGACTGGGAACAGTTTGTTCTTTTTTTTTCTCTTCTTTTTTTTTTTTCAGACTGACATGTTCAACATAGAAAATTACCACTCATTGGGCCATGATCAAAGTACAGCTTGGAATTCTAGCATTGGTAACATGAAACAGGTCTGCACACTGTGTGTGCAACTATTCAGGGCAAAGAAAATGAAGAGGGTGTTAAGGCAAGGAACATTTTGAACACACAGGTCAAAAAAGCCAAAAGTTAATGTTACAACAGCAAAAATGCGTTGCTTACCTTACACAGGTTGCAGACACATTTTACCTAAATATACAGCAGTGTAAATACAGCTGTGTGTCATTATTTAGGGCAAAGCAAAAGCAGACACAGTAAGATGCTGTTTGGATTCCTGTATTACAACTCAGTTAAAAATGCCTCTGAAGCCTTCAGGGGTGTTTGTTTCTTTCTCTGGCTTGAATGCTCAGTTTTTCATCTGTGTAATTCACTTTACATGGGTTTAGATGCAGGTGAACATGAGGCTCTTTTTAAATTAGGAGTTTTTAATGAAGAGGGGAAACAACTCATTTCAATTAGAATGCCCTTGTCTTCTGGACTTCTACACCGAGTTAGCACATCTTTATCTTGTTGGACCAGTGAAAGAAGTGTTTAGTAGTTTTGAATTTGTTCATAAAAAATTGATTAAAACATTGATTAAGGCACTCCTCAGATCAGTGACTCAATTAATTGAGCTGTGACCAGCAGGCTCTCAATGCAGAGATTATTTGCCATCTCCTTATTGCCTTGAAATTATAACATTGGGAGTAAAGTTCTCTGCAACACATGTGGCTGTAAAGAAAGATTTTTCAGGCTGAAATGCAAGGTATACATTTGATGGAAGAGCTGAGAAGCTGAGACAGCTGAGCTGTTTATTCACTTTCATCTCTGATTTTCAGGTAAAATTCTTACAATTGAGGATTTAAATTTTGGAGCTTGTTGAATGCATTGTCTTTTAAAGGATTTCCTTGGTGACATGCATTTGTCCTTAAACTCAAACAGGATGTGTTTAGTAGGTCTTCCAATTTTTAGTTAGTCTTTAACCATCTGCTTCTGTATATAATTGTTTTTCTAGTGATTTTCCCAGTGTGAATCCTAATATTGCTCATAAAACTTACAGCTGTTTGGGTAGTGCAACTGAACTCTAATGTTGTGATATCTGAGTTTTGAGATGTAACAAGATGCTTTTGGCAGAATATGGATCTAGAGAAGTTTTTAGCCTATCTAAGCAAAATCCCTGCTCCTAGGAGAAGTTCTGATAATATGTTTGCATGATCAGGTATTTTTCCTGTAAACCTCTTCAATGACCATGTCCAAATTGCCTAAAATCACGGAAGTTTTTTTGTTTCCTTGCTTGTTCTTTAATCTCACTGGTCTCTGAATCTGCTGCTTTGTCTTAATGTGGGGGGAGGAAGAAGAGAGAAAATATTGTGAATAACTGTATGTTCAGTCTTTAAAACTTAAAAACCGACAGGGAGCTGAAATATTAAATGCTGACTCACTGCACATGCACCATTCAACTTGTACACTCAGAGGCACAATGTCTAACTAGTAAAGGTCATTTTTACTCAACAGGCATCCTAAGATATATCTAAATAGATCCTGCATTCCACTGTACAAAATCCAGGGGACCCTTGACCCGTGGCCAAAAGCTGGAATACAACTTTTGGTTGCCCTGTAAAACTGTCTCTCTCCAGAAGTATCTGAAACCAGAGCAGACCTTGCTATTTATCAGGATTTCCCACTCTTCTGGAACACAGAGGTCCTGTGGGAAAGAAGATACATAATCACCTAATTAGGTGGTATCATAATGTGTGTGCACAGTGGAGCAGAGTTACATTTCCATGTCTCAAAGAGGATCCAGTTGGTTGACATTTCAGTGGCTTTGTGAAAAATGAGAGATGTTGTTTTCTGCAATCCTGTCTTTTTGAAGATCTGGTGGGGCTGGTTCCTTTCAGTAGGTGTTATGAGCTTTTCGGTGAAGAGTTTGCAGCTCTGGAATCAGCCCACCATTGATTTGTTTTCTACACTCTCAGGATCTTTTGACCTGTAGGGAGAACCCAGCATCTTGACTTATCTCTGCTTCCACCAGTACCACTTCATGTTCCATGGAACATGGGGAGAGGGTGGTGTTTTTGGTAGGTGAAGGTGATAGCTGATAATGCAGTAATTTTTAAATTATGGTGATTGGATCACTGGAAGAATGCCTTTTTTAAAACTGGAAGGAGCAAGATAATGAAAAAATAGGTTGTGAGCTTTTGTAAATTGTTCAAGCTGCGTATAATCACAAAGTTTATGTAAGTTTTTTACTTTCTTGAAAGCCTTGCCACATGTTGCAAAATGCCAATGACAGCTCTGTTCTTTGCTCAGCTGTATTTCCTTAAAATGGCTTAAAATGTAATGAAGCTCAGGCTGTTTTGCCAATGTTACTGAATTATATCTGAGCCATTAAATTCAGTAGCTTGTTCCACAGATTGCCCACAAATGTCCTGTGGCATCTTGCCTTCATAAGCAATGGCATCACTCTCATGTCCATTGTCATTTCTTTTGCAGAGTTTCAGAAATTATTCTAGTATGCACTAATTTTCTCACTTCACACTTTTCATCTTCCTTCACTGCCCCCTGAGACCCCAATCCTCTAAAATTTATCTGAGTTTTACCTGTTGGTTTAGGACCCAAAAGGTGTCAGATTAGCATAAAAATCTTACTGGACCCTAAAAAAGTATAAAATTACTTTCTGCAGCCAGCTTCTTATTCCCTAAATGCCTGATGAGGCTCATGTGCATCATGAGTTACATGGAGTGTATTGTACTAGTAAAATATCACTTATCTCTAGACACCCTTATCTTTTTGCTGAATTTGGATGGCATGAAAACACCTTGTGAAAAAGGCTGAAAGCCTTTGCTTTTAATGTGTTTTTAGAGATATTCATGAGCAAATGTACATACCTTCTAAAGCAAATGCTGCTGCCAGTATTACATGCATAGGAACCTCTTTGTCAAGTATGCACTTTACCCTCAAAAAAGGATTTTTTTGAGAAATTTCAGTTTGTTCTCTTCCTATTAGCTGTGGCTTTGTAACAGTTCAATTCTGCTGTTCTTTGTCCTAGCTCATAAAAAGGAATATTTAGGAGATTTTTGATTGTAGGTAGATGTCTTTCTCAGTGAAGTTCCTCAGTGCACATGTTTATAGCAGGTTTATTTGCTATCCAATATGAATATTTCTCTTTAATTTGTCGGTGGGGTCAAAATGATGCAAATATGGATTTCTCAGCTGATGATTAGTAAGACCAACTGATAGTGCTGGTAATTAAAGCATGAAAATTGTATTGGGAATGCCTGCTGTCCTCAGTAATGTATTTGTTAGTAGAAACGTGGCAGGTTCCCTTTCCTGGTGTCATAATGTAAGGGCAGAGATCTGTGGAAAAAGAATTGACTGCTGAAAGTATCAAATGTGAACTAATGAGGGAGAATGATGTTTTCTGGGAGAAAGAAGTGAGTGCTCTCATGCTGAGTAAGAAGAGGCAGAATGTTTGTCAGAGGTTTTTGTGTGTTTTTTGAACTTACCATAACTGATGTTTAGTTCTTGAAGGTTTTTTAATTTACTTTTTAAAATTATTTTCTACATAAAAGTAGTGATGCTCCAAGGATTTGAGAGCTTAGAGCTTTATAGGCCTAATTTGCTTCCTGGGAAAAGAACTGAACCCTGAGTTGAGGGAAAATAACTATTTCTCTTTTCTAGCCATTTAGAAAAAATATTGAATTTTCAATGCAATGAAAATGAGAAGCTTACCAGACTTAAATAACTAAATAATCTAGCCTACAAAGACTCTTCAGTGGTCCTAAAACTAACTGGATTTTTATAGGCCATAGAAATAAGAGTATTTTATTCTTTACCTATAAAATTAGTCTTCCAAAGTCACATCTATATACAGCATTTCATGTGATTTTTGTTTTGGCTTGGGAAAATACTTTGTTGTAAATTGTCATGTAATTTGAAGTTACTGAATTTTTTTTCTATTATTTTTTACAGTGTCTTAATTTCCCAAAAACCAAAGTGAGAAGGATAATTTCTCTGAAGCAACAGGATCTGGTTCTTTGCAGATGGAAGCATAGTGTAAATAAAATGTTTCTTTGAGGAGGAGGATATGACAAGGTGTTCTTTGTGGTGGATAAACCTATTTATTGTTACTGTTGAAGGTGTCACAGTCAGTCTGTGGACCAAGATAATAGCTGCCTCAAAGTTTATTAGGCATCTTTTATGCCTGCTAAGAGCTGCACAGACATTGAGGATGGTGATGTGTGGGTGGGGTTTTTGGTAGTAGGTTTGATTTGGGGTTTTGTGTTTTGGTGATGGTTTTTATATGACCTTAACCATTAAAGCCTAATGGTTCATCCTGTATCCCTGCTGTTCATTGCCATGCCAGGAGCTCATTTTTTGCTTACCCATCCTCAACTGTTACCAGCTGCCTAATGCTGTTGCCTAAAAGCAAAGAAAATTCGCTGGACAATTTTAATATAGTAAGGTTGAGAGCAGGTCTGTAATTATAGAGTTCTCTAAGATGCACAAAATATATAAGCCCAAGCATTTAGGATAGCTTTTTTTTTTTAAATAATAATACTAGCTATTATCATATCTAATGGGATACACCCAGCCTGATAATTGTCTGTTCCCAGGACCTTCCTCAGGCCGAATTGGGTGGGTGGTCTTCCACAACCACTGTTTCCTCCCATTCTTTGTCTTCCTCAGGACTTCTGTCCTGCTTGGAACAAAATCAAGGATTCTGGGCCTTCTAAATGGCTTTAACTAAAGTTATATCAAGGAATGTGCTGGGAATACCTTGTTCTGGTACACTCTCTACAGACTAGATGCCTTTTAGCTTGCTAAAAAATCTCTATCTATTGAAAACCTTGACAAGAAACATCAAACAATCTTTTAGAATTTGGTACAAAAGTATTTCATTAAAAGCTCTATCCTAAAATTGCTATAAGATGCTAAAAGCTACAGTAAAATCTGTATACTTAGGGATCTTAAGGCATCAATCCCACTGGTTTGCAGTGCAGAGCAGAGGTGGGATGCTGGGAAGGAGAGGACACTGGAAGAGGCATCCAAGTGCTGCTGACAGCCTGATAATTAACATGCAATTATTTGACCGAACTCAGCCCCTCTGTGTCACTGGTGCAGCCCTGGGCAGCAAAAGTCACACATGTGTCCTTCCTAAGCTTCGTTAACTCCTTCAGAAGAGAGAGTGCTGCTTTGGCATATTAATTAGCTGCCATGCTTTCTTTTACTCCAAGTTAACCCTTAGTTGATTAAAATTACTGATAATTGCAAGGCTGTTAGAGGTCTGTTTATGCAAAGTGTGCTTTGCTGTCAGGGTGAACAGGTTCATATCGTTTGGTTGTGCTTGCCCCACACTTCTCTCCTTAAAAAGAGGAAGAGCAAACCAGTAGAAAAAAAGAAGCAAAGATAAATCAACAGAATACCAAAAGTTACTGCTAAGGAAACCAGTTCTTCTTCACTGGAAAACAAATGGAATAGTGAAAGAGTGGGCTGATATGACGTTAACTTAGGGAATATTTTTTCACCTATTTCCTGCGCCGTGTTACAATGTATTATGCTCAGAAGTTATCAACTTTCAGTAAGTTCAATACATTTTTTAAATTTTTTACGTGTCTGCTGAAAAATTTATTGTACTCCCACAAGAGTAAGATTTTGGATTCTTTGAAACTTTTTGACTAAAGTAAAACCAAAAAAAGCACAGGTTAAACTATGCTGCATCTCAGGGGTTTTTTTTTGTATAAATGTTTAACACTGTGCCATATTTCACATTTTTCTTTACAGGTGTAAGACAAAAAAACCCCAAATTTTTTAAAATTATTTTTTATTACAGCTTTCTTTTTTTTTTTTTTTGCCTTTTTTAGCCAATGAAAGCAAACAATGCTTTCCACAAAATGTTCTTATGACACTTTACTTCGACTTTACTCCACTATTTCAGTCAAAGAATGGAATTTCTGTATAGAAAATGTCTCCGTTTTCAGAAAATGGTGTCATTAAAGCTGGCTCACTCCATCTGCATGTACAGTCATTTGTATTCCAATGTTACAGAAATATCCACTTGAATTTTCTGATTTCTCGTTATTTTAAACCAGGGCATCACAGTTATTGTCAACCAGGACACTGATAAAACATGAACTTCTGTTTTGAGAGGTGTTGTATTCTTTTTACTGTGATAATTCACTGTAGAGAGGCAGAGATTTCACAAATCTATGCTATAGAATAACATCTACCATTCAAACAGAACACTTTGTATGTGCACAGATGAGTCATTCTTAAATATTCTCATTATGCCTTGCACAATGGAATTGGTCCTTCTCAGTACTTCCACTTTTCATGTAATAAATGTAACAGTAAAAATACTTTTTCCTGAACTCGTCTGCTGCAAAAAAAGTGCTATTATCTCACTTTCAGGAACACTAAACTTTCTTTTTTTTCTTTAGGTGACCTACTTTGTAGGGTAGATATTTCTTAGAGTTCTTCCTTTTTCCACAGCCAATCTGCCTGTTTTGTTTTTTGTGTAAGTCTCAGTTTCTTTGTCACTTAGTACATTCTAAATAACATTAATTCTAACTAAATCTTCAATTTTCAGTTAGTGCCATATTTTATGATCATAAAACAGAAATACTAACATGGATCTTAAGTTTTTCTGTGAGACAGATTTTTTTATACAAATATATACGTAAGTTCATCAATGCAGAGAATAAG